GCCGCCGCCTACTCTTCCGCCCGTCACCACCTTCTCTTTCCGCTATCGCCGCTGCCTCCTCTTTCCGCCATTGCCACTGCCTCCATCTTCTTCTCTCATCTTTCTCTCCTTTCTCCATATTCTCCTTATTTTTTTTTTAATATTCAATTTCACAATTCACTTTTTCTTCTCTTCTCTTAATTATGTTGTCTTAACTCGTTGTTATGGATCAAAATCTTCAATCATGGATTAAGATGGTGTTTCTCCTCCTCCGTCAATTTCTTCATCGTCATCATCTCTTGATCAAACTAAATCGTTGACGAATATCGACATAGTTAACTATGTCTAAAAAGTAACTATGTTTCTCATAATAGTTTACTATATATTTTTATTATAGTAGGTAACTATGTTTCTGATAATAGTCAAATATGTTTATGATAATAGTCAACTATGTTTCTGATAATACTCAACTATGTACGTTTTGAACTAGTTAACTATGTTTGTTTAAATAACTAAATATTATAACAACATTTCATGTAGTCAACTATATTTAAAAATCAGTAGAGTCGATAACTATGCTATGAAAATAGTTAACTATGTTTTTAAATTGTTTTAAAATAGTTAACTATGTTTTATATAATTACAAATAATGTTGCGTAGTTAACTATGTTCGGAGATGTTTCGAATATAGTTAACTATGTTATTACATAGTTAACTGTTAGAGCTTTTTTTTGTTTGTTTGTCATCTTCTGATCCAATTCTCTTTTTTTTCCAGAATAGTTGCAATCTACTTTTGGCTGAGATGCAATCGCAGAAACAATTTTTCCAGGAATAAAGTTTTGGAGAATATTTTTAGGAATCTTTTATATATATGTTTTACCTTAATTATAGTTGTAAGGGCGATTTTATCATATTTTTAATTCTCTCTTCTAATTACCTAAATATAATTTTGGATATGTTAGTTTTCTAATTATGGATTTCAAAAGTAATATTCAGCTAATTAACGTAAAAATTAAAAAGACGGTTTGAAATAATTATTGCATTAAAGGAAATATATTGAAAAATCTCCAAGCAATTTTGAGTATGAATCACATAACCAAAATATTAAATAAGATTCCGTGTAATTAATGAAATAGATAGGAAAAGGTGAGGTCCCCGCTCCCCGGCGTGAGAGGCGTAACGCCAAATTTCAAGTATGGCCGTCTTTGAGGGATTCACGTGGTGGAAGTAGAGTACACTTTGCTTTTCTCATAATTAAAGAAGGGTCGATAACTAAATAAAA